GATTCGATTTGAAAAAATCAAATCAAATTCAAATTGCTTAAATATTTGATTTGATTCGATTTTGAGGAACCCTAATAACAGTGGTATGTTGCAACATATTCATAAAGGCTACCATCATTATTCCTACTCATTTTAATGATAAACTTTTAGAATTTCAACAATTTATTATTGAGAAATGAAAAAAATTTGAGTATGAACTTTTTGAGATTGAAAATATAGATGAAACTCCTGTTTTTTTTGATATGATTGGAAATTTAATTATTGAAGAATGCGATGCAAAAACTGTATAAATGAAATGAAAAAATTGTTTTATATGTATTTTTACAGTTTTTGCAAATAGTACAAAATTACCACCAATTGTTATTTTTAAAGGTAAAAAATACCAAAAAATTTATCGTCTGAAATCATTATATTAATGCATCCAAAAGAATGGATGAATGAGTCTAAAATGAAAACTTAGTTTGATAAAGTTTGGAAATAAAGATTTGAAGAAAATAGAATTAACAAAAAAAAGAGCACTTTTTATTATGGATAGTTTTAAAGGTCACAAAACAAGTGTTATTAAAAATATTGCATCAAATATAAATACTGATTTAGTAATTATTCCTGATAGTTTTATTTCTGTTATTCAACTACTTGATGTTTGTTTTAATAAACTGTTTAAAGATAGACTTTGTGAAAAATAGAATGCTTGGATGAGTTCAGATCAATTTACTTACACTAAAAGTGGAAATTTAAAGAAATCTGATTATAATATTATTTGTAAATGGATTCTTAAGGCTTGGGCGGAAATTCCAAAAGGAATGATTGTAAAATCATTTAAAAAATATGGTATTAACAATGCAATGAATGGGTCAGAAGATGATTTATTTGGACAAGATGAAACTAAGAAAAATGATGATAAAAGAGAAATATTAAATATAAATAGTGATTCAGCTGATGAATATTTAGCTGATGAATCTAATAAATTAAATGAATAAAAAGTTATTTTTTAGAATGATTTTAATAAAATTTTAATTTTGAATTTTTGAATAAATTTTTTTTTTTATTATTTAAATGTAGGTGATGCTTATTTTTGTTTTTTAGACTTTTTCATCCAAAGTCAGAATTGTGCTTAAAGTCGGATGATGCTTAAAATCAGAAGAATATGATACTTTAGTATTATGAATTGAATTAGGTTAACTAATATTATAATCTATATATATGTTTTTTATTTTAAAATTTTAGATTATTTTAATAAGATATTTGTTAATACTTAAGATTCCTATTTATTATATTTATTATTATATTTTTCATTTTTTGATATTTTTAAATCTTTTATATATTTTTTATTTATTGATTATAATTAAGTATTTTTTTATTAAAAAAATTTGCAATTATTCTTTTTAATAATATAAATAATTCTAAAATTTTAAATTTTAAATATATTTTAAAAAATTTTTTTTTAAAAATCTAAAACACAAAATATATTTAATTTTATAATTTACTAAAATTAGTATATTTTAAAAAAAATTAAAAGAATATTATTTTTATAATAAAACAATTAAATTTAAACTTAAAATCTAAAAAAATATATATACTTTTTATTATGTTAGTAAAATTATATAGTATCAAAACATAAGTATTAAGCATAATGCATAAAATGTATAAAGTATAAACATAAGTATAAATATAATAAAGTATAAAGCAATAAGTATAAGTATATACATCAAACATTAGGAATTTTTGTATTTATTTAACATAATTATTATAATATACTAATAATTATACTAGAATTGTATTTCACGATCCTACACAAAGCATAAATATAAAAACAAAGATACAATAAAAATAAAAATCTTTAATAAAATCTTACAAAAAATATAAGTTTTAATACTTGACATAAAATGATTCAAAGGAAAGAAGTTCAAACTAATAATCTAACAAGAAATTCCATCAAAAATGAGAGATTAAGATATCACTTACATCTATCAATATAAACAACAAAACCAGTTAATAATAAATAATAACCAAATAAAAGCAAGACTTTACAAATACCTTTCCTTCCTCTTAAAATAAAATATAAGAGTATAATGATGATAATGATTATAATAATAACATCACATCATAAAAAAATAAAAGAAAAAAATCATGATGATACAATGATAATAATCATCATAAAAAAATAAAAAATAAAATAAAATAAAAAGTGATGATGATGGTCACAATGACAAAAATAAAATAAAATAAAAAATAAAAATGATGAGAATAAGAATAATATCATCAAATAATAATAATCATCATCAAATAATATTGGAGGAAAAGTTCATTAAAATAAAGTATATCATCGGAAATGTATAGGACATTCTCTCCGTTTTGCGAACCATCCGTTTATACACTCATTGTGGTATAAACACATACAGTTCAGTATCGTTACGGATTCGCCTATAAAGGGCAAATTTTTATAACCTAAATTTCACGTAAACTCAATTTGTAAAATAACATAATTACTTACCGGCAAGAAATTCTTCGAAACAGATAGGACATTCTTGGCCAACGAAGGGGTTATTTTGTTGGAGTTTGGATACTGTAATAAAATATATTCCGATTGATGTGGAATGGGAATGGTTGAGTGGGGGAAAAAAATAAAGGAATGTGGTGGGAATGTACCAACACAAAGGAAGCAAGGCAAGAAACCGCGAATAAGTTATAATAATGTTTTTTGCTAATGAGATTTATAGGGTCTTAATATTTCTTTCTTGCTACTCTGTAATTTTTTTTTGCCTGTTTGCTCAAGACTCAAAAGCGGCTTGCTCACCCACAGATTGATAACCGCTAACGCCGGTGCCATTCTTCTTATCGAAACAGCTCTTGATGTGTTCTTCTGTTTTTCCTGCAGGGGCTTTACTTAATGACATATTACAAACAGGACAAGCGTTCATAGAACTATTGCTCGGACGCCTTCTAATACTTGTGGAAGATGAACCAGAAACGATTGTCGTAGAAGTGAAGCTATCTGATCTCTCCCGAGATGTATGACCTATCGAGTCGAAACATGAGTCACACACGCGGTGGTATTGAGATTGAGATAATTGGCTTGCTTCACCACTTTGGGATGGATCAGTAAGCACTTGATTTAGTGGTACCCTTGCAGTAGAACATTTATCACAAACCACTTGACCGCATCGTCTAGATTCGGTATAATTAAATAAAATTCAAAATATAGAAAAAAATGCTGTTATCCGTATCGAATTTTGGTTTTAAAGAATTCAATTATAACATTTCGTACGAACCTGCAATGATGTCTTCTAAAAATCACGTTAAACTTCTTCTGACATCTTCGACATTCATGTACGTCTTCATCATTCTCCCATTTACCACAGAAAGTAGTAATTGCTTGTACATTTTTGACGGTTAAACCTAGTTGAGGATGTGCACGCGTAGATACCATAGCTGAATCACCAAAAATGGAAGATGAATTACCAACTACATCGTTACTTTGAACCGTATCATTCCAGGGACTTTCAATTGTCTCAAAACTTTTAAGACTTGTTGTCGATGGAGCGTTAAAGTTGCTAATTGTACCTGCATTTGGAGTAACACTTCTCGATCGATTAGCAGGAGAATCCAATCTAAATTGACTTGGTGATGAAGGCTGTGGAATTGTTGGAGTCATTGGAACATCTTTAAAACTCGGGCTTGTACTTTGAGGAGCTGCAACGATCTCATTTCTTAAAATATTATCTAAATTTTCAGCATGAGTCATAAAACTATTTACAAGGGAAGTGGCTTCCTGTTTACGCTGCGGATTTTTATCAGCTAAAAAGATGGATTTTGAAATTAGAAGTAAAAATATTAAACAATAAAAATTTAAATAAACAATTTATACATACCTTTGCTTCCAGATAACAAAAGTTCTATTGCTTCTTTATATCGTCCCAATTGATCAGCCACAGAAAGCTCACTGACAGCTTTCCCTTTTCCATTTCCATTATCTTGGTTTTTTTTGATAATCGCTTCTGCCCGCTCAATATAATCAGGATCGTCATGTTGAACGATATTATCTGGATTAAATTGTAAAACACTTCCAAATTCTGTTAGATCCATAATACGTTTCATAATACGAACCCATCTTTTTCTCCTAACCCAACTTCCACTATTAGATCGTTGTTCAGAACACCAATTTTTATCACTTTCTTCAAAATTTTTAGCATATTGCCACCCTTGTGAGTCTACTTGTGGATGTGACATATCAACCTGCCAATCGGTTACCCAAAACCAAGATGTTTGTGACTTAGAAGTAGTTGCATTAGAAATAAATGATCCCAAAGGAAGTTGAAATTCATCTTTTGAGGAAGGTTTACCATTTGGAAGAGACCAAGGACCTCGAGAATCGCTTTTCAATAAGTTATTAGCAGAATATTTTGGTGGTCCACGTAGAGGAAAACCCAATGTTGAAGCAGTACGCTGATTTTCATAAAGTATGACGGGAACAGTGATATGAAAAGCATAAACATCATATGGCTGATCAGGTGACGGCAGGTCAAAATGTTCCTTCGATGAAGGTGCTATATTAAAATAAAAACGAGTTAAAATGACAAAATTATTATGCATAAAAATATCGAACAAAATATATATAATTGTAAACTCAACATACGCGTAGACATTGCTCTTTTTCCCTTCCACCAATCTCGCTCCGCCTTTTCTAACAATTCACATATATATACTTCTAGACTTATAGCAGCAGCATCATATGCAGTTTCCCCAAAGCTGTTCTTGATGAGCGGATTCGCGTGACCATTTTTTAAAAGGTATTCTACAATTTCAATATTGCCCTTTGATGCAGCATTCACTAAATGAATTAAAATGTTATAAAATATGTATCATCATATTAGCGCTATATGGTTTGATGTTATAAAAAGAGCTTCATCAATCATGTTATTCAACTTACTTAAAGGAGTATGGCCTTTATTATTCTTCACATCAACATCAGCCGAAGTGTATTCAATCAAATATTTAACAATCTGTAAATAGCCTTGAGCAGAAGCATTATGTAACGCAGTCCAACCATCATTATCTTTTTGAACAACACTCGCTTTCTTTTGTAGAAGATACGCTACAACCGAAGAATGACCATTATAAGATGCTTTAAGGAGAGCTGTCTAAATAAACAACGAAAAAAAATATTAACTCAAAAGGAAAATTAATCATTATAGAAATCAAGCTCACATACCTCTCCCGTTTGATCTTCGAGATCAACAATAGCTCCAGCCTCGTCTATCAACCATTTTACAATTTCTAGATGTCCACGTGACGCGGCATAATGAAGAGGTGTCAAACCAGAAGATGGACTGGCTTCATTTGCAAGTAAAAAGGCAGATGTTGCTTCACCAGAACCATGAGGGGCAAGTAACTCTTTAACCCTAATAAAATTACCAGCAGCTGTTGCTTCATGAATGTCTATATCACCCTCGATCGAACCGTCTACTGAATATTGAGGATAACTCGTTCCTTGAAAGGAATGGTTTAAAGAATTTGAAGGAAGCTTAAGTTGTTTTAAATGAATGTTCCCATAATAACGATGGCTTTCTCCAGGTATAGGCGGATTCACAGCCTCAGGTATCCGCATTGACGGAGGAAATACTGATGAAACCATCTAAATAAAATAATAATAGAAATAAAAATAAAAATATAAAGGTTTATAAAGTTATGCTAAGTAAGTTTTTTTATAACAACACATATTAGGTAACTTCCTCAAACATATAAAGCCGAATATGTTTAATGATAATCTAAAATACTGTATCACGCCACGATGTATTTGAATACTCCATATATTGTTATATAAAAAATGTAAAATTTGAATCAAATAAAATATATCACAATATTTTTTATTAAATTTGGTTAAATAAAATGTATATTTACGGATTTTGAATTACCGTACACCTCCGAAAATAAGCATCCCCAGAAAATAAGCATTCCTATATTTATATATATATGCTAAAAATAAGCATCTCTTGATAGATTGATAGAAATATCAATCCAAAGTTACCATTTGATTCCACTCATTAAGGTGAATTCAATAAGTTAAATTTCATCATTCTAAGATCACTAGATCATAAAATATCATTGATTGAAGTTTTAATACAATTATAATTATATGTATTTAATAAATACTTAATAAATAATTAATTATATTCTAAAAAGTATAATAGATATTTATTTTAATATTGATAATAAAATTCAATATTAAAAATTTTTATATTACATAATTAATTAATTTAAACCCTTTATAAGAAGAATATGTATTGTTTGCTATTAAAATTAAGATACAAAACATAGTAAATTATATGATCTATAAGATCTGTAACTCAATTTTAATAACAAACCACCTATATAATATCATTAATTATTAATAAAATTTAAAATTTAAACTTTTAATTATAGTTATCTGACAAAACCTATTTTGGATTTGTTGAAACGTCTAAACCTTTAGTTTTGATAAGTTTTTAATAAATCCATAATATATAGAAAGACTTTCATATGATTGGCTATTGCAGATCAATTTAAATCAGGTATTATTTATACAGTTTAAAGTACTTTTTCAAAAAATGGAGTTACATTAAGTAAAAAAAAATCTTACTGTTGCTTTTTTGAAATGCTAACTAACTGCTTGCAAAAATAATCCAAAATAATCTCGGTTTTAAAAGAGTTTGCTTATATGTAGCATTTCTATAATATGAAGCTTAAAGTTCTTTAGAACTTGTTTTAAAAATTTTTACAAACTTATATTAAAAAATAAAGAAATCTGTATACTTTCTGAATATATGAAAAGATAAAACTAATAATTTATTACGTCTTAATATTTGCCTTTCGTTTCTTTTTATTACTTTTATAAAATATATAATAAAAGGTAATACTATTTGGCGACCCTATCACGTGATTCGAGTTTGATTAGACAGAATGTAATATTTTTTTTTATAATATCATTAGTAGGTATCAAAATTTAACAGCAAAATTTTATTTATCTTAATGTATTTAATGTTTCTTAATGCTAATGTTAAGGTTTTACTTAAACAATAAATATTTTTCACATATACAATATATCATGCATAAACATCCTGTATATTTATTTAAGTTAATGCATATGCAATAAAGAATAGTATAGTATAGACTAAACTAAAATTATACGATGCATATATGCATACACATTAAAATTCCTTCAAACTACTTGATTCACCTTTCCTTTTCCTTTGCAAGTTTTGCTATTATGACCTGATTGTTTGCATAACTTACATTTATATGTCTTAGTATTAGACTCTTCCAAAATACTATTAATTCTCTTTGACTTAGGATGACCTTTCGGTCTTTGTAAAATAGGATTCTGGATCTCTAAATTTTTATCATCATTCTGAGTGTTGAAATTCCCTCTGCTACTACTAAGAATACTGTGTTGTGACATTTTCTGCTAAATAGATTGAAAAAATTCTAAAACCTCATGGTAAGTGTCCTCATTACCTTCTTCAATAACATCACTCATAATTTTTTTCCCTAAACTAAACAATTCTCTGAATTTGCGCTTTTTTAAAATAGTACTAGATATTTCATTATTATAGTTAATTGTCCCAATTTCTCTGATTTGATTAGCATCAAAACTTGGTGGTTGTAAAAATCAATTTGGTAATGAATAATTCTTTGATGTTGATGCATTTAAGGAAACGACAATAAATTCAGTATTTAATATGTTGATTTCTTGCAATTGATCTTTATACCAATACCAATTTATTAATCTGATATGGAATCGGACAATTGGTGTAAGCGACATTAATTGATAAAAGTAGCAGCATATATATCTATGTGATCTGAACATCATATATGTACAAAGAAAGGTACTATTATTCAAAGGGTATATGAAGTGTGATGTTTTTGGATTTGCTAAATGTAAAATTTTCCAGGCTTCAAGAACAGTCGAAGTATCTTCCGGAAAGGAACTCAAATGGATTTGTGGAAAGTCAAACAGGTTATCAATAAATCTGTCTGATTCGTCAAATACCTAAGGTAAGACAATTATTTCAGTAACATTAAAGTGACTCAATTATACAACCAAATAGTATAAAATACTAACATTTTCTTTAGAACGCGTATTTTCAAATTCAATCTCTGTAGCATGATAACAGAGACTTAAGTTCATTTGCTCCTCCTGTTTTTTAATAACATTTGGCATTAAGAATTCGTGCAATTGTCTTACAACAGGTCCGAAAATAGATTTTGATACATTTTGAGGTCCTATCTGCGACACAGTTTGCTTCCAACTCACAAATTTACAATAATCATTTTCTTCCTGATACCTTTTTTCTAATGCATCAAATAATTCACATAATGAAAGACTTGAACTTCTGAAAGTCATTTTAATATAACATTTTCATTTTCGTTACGAGTGGTTGATTGTGCACCAGCAGTAAAATATCTATTGGTAAATGTACACGTTCACGATTGAGGATTGCATTATAAAATCTTCGTTAAATAATCTTTTGATTGTGGATAATTCTGTAGCAAAGCATTCCATCTTTATTGAATAAATTGATAAATGTAACAATAAAAAAAAACTTTAAATACAATGCAATAAACAATAAAATTATAATGCTTATAAATTAAAAATGGTAATACCTTTCATTAAACTGTTCCTCTTTTAAAGTGTTCCTTGTGGTATAGAAATCTTTCATAAAATCACTGAAACCTGAACCCAACTTTCCTTTCAATTGTTTTAGTAAATTTTGACTTATATGCCAAATACAATGCATATGAAAAGCATCAGGAAATTATACTATAACTGCAGGATCACCATCAGTTACGAAAACTCTTGGTGATATACTGGTTGCTTCTTTTACACATTGAAAACCCCATTCATAGGAGAGCTGTGTTTCATTATCAACAATCGCTTAAGCTACGATTTGTGTCTTTAAATTATTGTCTGGAGTGACGAAAAGAGACAATTGATGATTGTAACGGTTGGTTTTGCAGGTATTATCATGCATAACAACATCATGATAGCGTAACTACAAAATTTATTGTTCCAGACTCATCCAAAAAAGATGTGTTAACGATGAAGTAACTGGATCAAACTTCATTAAGATTACCCATCGTGGATCTCCAATTTTTTATCATGAAGTCTCTTTAACAATAAACCTGTATCCTCTTCACCTGGTGTTGCTTTACGACAAAATTTATCGATACCATTATAAAGATTTGGCCGGTATATTCTTGTCTTAAACTTTTCTCGAATAATTCAGTATTGTAATATTGCATTTACTTTAGCAACAACGGTTAAAAATCGAATTTCTTCAAGAATTCCTTCTGGCAATTTTCATAATGTTGGAATGAATTTACTTGCTGATAGATGACACTCATGTCCAATATGAATATCGTTAAATTTTGTGACTTCTAAACTGCCCTTTCCCTTCTTAACCCAAATATTAACTTATTATAGACATTCTACTCAACAAAATGACACATTTAATTGTGTTGTTTGTTTGAATATGGCTTTTCTAGCATAGCGATACAAATACCTTCACTTTATTACTTCATTTGTCATTTTATCGATTTTTCTGCCACTACCAATTCGTACCTCATGACCTTTAGCGGCTGCATACCTTTTCATGAACTTTGCAACATGATCACAACTTTGAAAAGATTTACTAACAAAAAGATTCGTATCCTTTTCTATATCCGCAATTTCATCAGATATACTACAATAAAAATGTTGTTTTTATGAGACTTAGATCACTTGATTTATAATACGATATTCTAAAAATTTAATTACTTACCTATCCGTATCGGAAAAATCTTCTACACTATCATACTCTAATAATACTTTATATTCTTTATCTTGGATGCTTGATTCTCCCATATTATGCAAACTCTTATTCAAGCGTATTCAAAAATGTGTTTTATATAAAAAGTAATGAGAAGTCAAAAAAGAACTTAAAAAAGCTACCAAATAGAATTTTCATATTGAAGCAAAAAACGTTCAATTATTATAAGGTAATATATGTCTTCCACTATAAACCCAAGTCCTTCACCATGAACCCAAATAAAAATATTGCCACACCAAATTACCTATTCTTTTGGACTCAAAAGAAGCCAAAGTCGAAAAAAGAAATGTCAAAAAAAAAACTAAAAAAACTACCAAATAGAATTTTTACATTGAAGTAAAAAACGTTTAATTATTATAAGAAGGTATTATTATAAGAAGATAATATATGTCTCCCTCAACCTAAATAAAATACTGTTCCTACCAAATTACCTATTCTTTTGGACTCAAAAGAAGCCAAAGCTGAAAAATTTGGACGTTTTGGCTATTATACGAAATTTTGTATTACAGGCTGAAATTAGCGTCTTCCGGCACATACAACATGTTAAATTGATGAAAAATTTCGTAAAGGAGTGACATGAAAAATTTCTGTGATTCACAATATGAACGTAAATGCATTACACAAAAAATTTCAGGTGTCTTGCAATACAAACGTAATACATTACACGATCAAAATTCTTGTAACATGCAATATGAATGTAATGCATTACACGAAAAATTTCTCGTGACTTATAAAATGATAAATTTAATTGGTTAAATATATTACTTAATGCTTAAATTTGATTGGT